GGGCGGGGAACTAGACACAAACCATAATAGTATCTCTCAATTGACCTATCTTGTTCTTATCAAAACTTCCTCTAAATGCTTGGTGTGCTGGTGCATGTCTGTAATCTCAGCTCATGGAGCACACAGAAACACAGAGAATTCCAACCATCTGATTCTGAGTAATGGGGCCAAAAAGAAAAGAGTCTCAGTCTGTCTCTGTCTGTCTGTGTCTGTGTCTGTCTGTCTGTCTCTCTCTCCCCCCCTCACACACATACATACACACACAAATAGTGCTGGGAAGCCAGGAGTGGTGGCTGTAATCCCAGCACTTGGGAAGTTGAAGTAGGAGGATCGTTGTCAGTTTGAGACCATCCTGTGCTACAAAGTGAGTTCAAGGCCAGCCTGAACTGCGTAGTGAGACCCTGTCTCAAAAAGACAAAGAGGGAGGGAGGAAGACAGTGAGAGGGAGGGAGGGAGGGAGGGAAAGAGGGAAGGGGAGAGGGAGGGAGGGAGGGAAGGAGGGAGAGAGGAAGAGAGGGAGAGAGAGCAGGCGAGTAAGAGTGCTAGAAAGCCTGGATATCTAAATGTAGAAGACTGAAACTAGATTCCTCTCACCCTGTACAAAAATCAATTCAAAATGGATCACAGGCCTAGGCATAAGACCTGAAACGTTGAAACTGCTAGAATAAAGCACAGAGAAAACACTTGAAGTCATAGGCAAGGGAAAAAAGACTTCCTAAATAACATTCTAATACCACAAGAAATAATAGCAACAATAAACAAATAAGAAGAATGTCAAATTAAAACATTTGGGGCTGGGGCAATAGCTCAATGGTCTAAGCCCCTGCCTGGCAAGTTCAAGGACCTGGGTTCAATCTCGAGTACTACATGCCAAGATGGCCCTGGAACCCCAGGCACACTGTGCCAGCCACTGATACCGTGCATGGTGGTGCACCCCTGTAATCCCTACACTGGGGAGGCTGGGACAGGAGGATCACTATGAGCCCAAGCTGCATAGGGAAACCCTGTACCAAATAAATAAACGATTTTTTTTTTTTTTTTTTTGTGGAACCGGGGATTGAACTCAGGCCCTTGCACTTGCCAGGCAAGCACTTATTCTACTGAGCTATCTCCCCAGCCAAATAAATGATTAAAAAAATAAATTAACGCATTTATATATATTAAGGAAAACAACTAACAGTGAAGAGACATTCTATGGGATGGGGAAGAAGATCTTTGCTAGTTACTCTGTTGACAGAGGATGAAAAATAAATACATAAAGAACTCAAAACACCATGAAATAGCCCAAGCAATAAATGAACAGACATTTCTCAAAAGAGGAAGAACAAACGGTCAGTCAGTATAGAAAATTGTTCAGTATCTTCAGCCATTAGGGAAATGCAAATAAAAATGACATTGAGATTCCATCTCATGCCAGTCAGAATGCTTATCATCAAGAATACAAAGGACAATAAATGCTGGTAACGATGTGGAGATGAGAAAGAAGCCCTTTTACCCTGCTGGTAGAATGTAAATTAATACAGCTACTATGGAAATCAGTATGGAAATTCTTCAAAAAACTAAAAAATAGAACTACCATGTGACCCAGCTATACCATTCCTTGGTGTGTACCAGAAGGCATTAAAGCCAGCATACCATAGTGATACCTGCATACTCCTGTTTATTGTGGCACAATTCACGATAGCCAAGATGTGGAATCAGCCTACATGCCCATCTACCGATGAATGGACAAAGAAAATGCATCATACATACAAAGAGAACATCCAGCTGTAAAGAACACAACCATGGGGCCGGTGAGATAGCTCAGCAGGCTAAAGCGCCTGCTTAGGCAAGTGCAGAAACCTTGGTTCAGTCTCCAGCACCACATGCCGCACCAGTCTCACCCCCACAGCAGGCTGAGCAGGCCAAAAATAAAGAAAAAGAGAAAAAGAAAACGTAATCACATCATTTGCAGGCAAAGGGATAGAACTGGAGACCATCGGGTTGAATGAAGTAAGCCAGCTTCAGAAAGTCAAGTATCACATGATCAAAAAAGAAGAAAGAAAGAAAGAAAGAAAGAAAGAAAGAAAGAAAGAAAGAACGAACAGGAAGGGAGCAAGTCTTTGACCTGGTGTTAGTTGACATCGGGTCCCTAAGGTTAGTGCTCATGCAACTTTGTATGTCCAGGGCTGCACCAAAGACTGATCTTCTCTGATCACTGCCAGAGAAAAACTGATTTAGGGCAAAAGAAGTGAAACAAAGTTATTTCCTGAGACACAAAACTAAAAATTCTTCATCAGAGTTCTGAAATAGTGATCTACACCATGTTTATTCAAAGTTCACTGACCTAGAAAATACTTTCTGAATTGTATAGCTTCTGGGGTGGTTTGTATGGTAGACTTAGTGGCTCTTGATTGAGAGAGAAATTTGTTTGGTTAATTCTGAGAATAAATGAGGTGCTAACTAGTTGCAGGAGCCCGAGCAGCTGGGAAACCCAATTTCTTGGAGGGACAAGTAATATTCAAGCATGAGCAATCAAACATCTGTGGTGCTTTTACACATCTAGGGCTGCACACCATGCCTTTCTGTACAGACTTCCTCTTACAGATAACATTCAAAACAGTAGACAAACATATACGGACCTCAGGATTAATTTGTTTTAATATTTGACAGTTGCTCTTACTGATTCTCATATTGATCCTAGTTTTGGCCTCTGTTGGCTCAAGTCTTCCTGACAGGACTGAAAGTTTTCTTGCTTTCTCATATTAGATGTTTCAGGATAATCTTGCATAGTTTTAGCTCTAAACCTGAAATCAGCTTTTCTTAAGGGATTCCTCATTTGTTTGTTTGTTTATTTATTTATTGGTGGAAGCAGGGATTGAACTCAGGCCCTTGTGCTTGCCAGGCAAGTGCTTATTCTACTGCGCCATCTCCCTGGACCCCACCCCCACTTTTTTTTTGGTGGAACCAGGGATTGAACTCAGGCCCTTGTGCTTGCCAGGGAAGCATTTATTCTACTGAGCCATCTCCCCGGCCCTGGACCTTTGGAACAGGCAATTTAGAAGGCAACTTAACCAAGGAAAAAGACAATCTGATCAGATAACCAAAATCTCCAGAGAGTCCTTATTCTGAGAGAAAACCAAAAGCACAATAAATCTACTGCTTAAGGTTCCTAACCAAATATCAGCAATTCAGCACCAACCTACCTCACTGAAGGAGCACAAAAGTTTTCACCTGTGCACAGTTACCAAGGTGGTGGGCAAATGGCTCAGCCGAATCTCTGTGCAACCTGTATTTCTGACTGTGCCCTCCAGCCCAAGATGGAGCACCTGAGCCTCCAGCACCCGCCTGCAGCAACTCATCCGTGGTTGAATTGGACACACCTGGGAGGCCCATGAGCAACTCAGCAACTGCATGCCTTCGAGGGCTGATTAGAGGCCCTGGGGCTTCTGTTAGGTGATTTCCTAGGAGTTTAAGAAAAGAGAGATTTGTAGGCTGGAGGCGGCCCCAAAGTGGAGACAATTCTTTCTGGTTATCTTAATGGTTACAAGACAAAACAATCAAGGCGCATGCTCTGTTTGTTAAAGGAGCAAGTCGGCCGGGTCTGTAGTCCTCGCCTCTGGGAGACTAAGGCAGGAGGATCACTAAGTCCAGGTGATGAGCCTGCGCAGGCAACACAGTGAGCCAAAGTCTCACAAAAAAGGCAAATATTTGGTCGTTTTTGTGGTTTGGACAATGTTCTTTTTACATCGAGAATTTATTACAGAATAACCTTTTTCTGAAAGCATCCAAGAGTGACACTGATGTTGGTGTTTTGTGAAACTGTGCTCAACTGGACACCACTGCTGCCTTGCTGGTGGCGCCAGGCCTGCTCCTAGCAACAGCAAGACTTCTGGAAGGGAACGCAAGCCAGCTCCCAGGAGCTGCCTTTCCTTTTCCACTGCTGCACTTACAAAATCAGACTTGGGGCTGGTGAGATGGCTCAGTGGTCTAAAGCACCTACTTAGAACAAGCTAAGCTAAGCAAAACACAGGGACCGCGGTTCAATCCCCCAGCACCACATGCCAGCCAGCCCCGCCCCCTGGTGGGCTGAGCTGGCCACACACACAAAATGAATGAATGAATGAATAAATAATTCTTAAAAAAATTAATAAAAAAAATCAGACTTGGCAGCCCTCAGGCTGAACGCGAGCTCTCTGCACAACCATAGACTCATTTCTCTCCAATACTTTATAACTAGCCCACTCCCTCATTTATAACTATCACCGGCGTTTAAACCGCAAAGGAAGTAGGCACAAAAGCCCAGAGAGAAGCGACTTGGGTAGGATCTCCACGTAAGCTGGCAGCGGGATTGCAGCTAGAACTGTCACTCTGGTTTTCCGACCAGGCGCTCACTAGACGCTAAGGTAAACCGTTACACCTCTGAAGTCTCAGCCTGTAAGCCTGCGGCAGATTGGGTCAGATAAAAACACTTCCCGCTGCTTTCTCGTCCGCAAGGCTTTCTGTGGCATTTCTTCTGTTGGGATGCGACGCCAGGCCTCGTGGCATTCGCTGGGCTTCGAAGGTCTTTGCTCAGCTGCTCCGGCCATCCTGACCGCGCCGCTGCTCGAGCCCACCAAGCTGGCTCCTTCCTGCATGGGGTCACTGAACTCTTCCCTCCCATCTCCGCGCGGCCGCCTGTCCTCAACTTCCCCTCAGCACCAGCTCTCAGCCAGCCCTTCTTCCATTCTTGGCGCCCTCGTGTCCCTGCCTCTTCCTCTGGGAGTCCCCGTCCTCTGCCTCCTTGAAGAGCTTCCCTTGATGTTTTGCTCGCAGTTGTCCCACAGCCTGTCAAGAGCGTGGGGCTGGGAGGCCTCCTCTATCGGATCTCCGAGAGGTGCGCTCCGGTCCCGTCGCCCCGCTAGGAGGACGCCGGCCCGCGCGCGCGAGCCCTCAGCGGCTCCTCAGCGCCTCCCCAGCGCGCATGCTCCGAGGTCAAGCCCCGCCTCCCCCAAGGGGCGGGGCCTCGGCGCGCAGGCGGGTCAGCGGGGCGCCGGCTTCCGGGTGGTACGAGCGCGTCCGTCGGGGCGGAGGATCGATGTCGCAGAGTAGCGGCGGCGAGTGGGCGTGTTCCCTAACGAGTCCGGCTGGAGGGCTGCGATCCCGAGTCCTCAAGAGCAGGCGGGAGGGCGCGGAGAGAGGCTGGGGCGGTCGACGCCCGCCGCCCTGCTGCAGCCGGCATGTCGGCCGAAGCCTCCGACCCCGCGGCCGCCGCGGCCCCTTCCCTGGAAGCCGCTAAGCCCTCGGGAGTGGAGCCCGGCGCTGCCGCCTGCGGGCTGAAGCCGCTGACCCCGAACAGCAAGTACGTGAAGCTGAACGTGGGCGGCTCGCTGCACTACACCACGCTCCGCACGCTCACGGGACAGGACACCATGCTCAAAGCCATGTTCAGCGGCCGTGTGGAGGTGCTCACCGACGCCGGAGGTACGCGCCGCCCTTGCACGCGCCTCCCTGCACCCCCGGCCCGGCTCCGCGCCTGGCTGGAGGAGCCGAGGCTCCTCCCGCCCTGCCTCCCGTCTTCTCTCCCTTTGCATTCACAGTTTCCTTCGTCTAGCCCTTTACCCCCGGCAATAATCAACAGTTATGGTACCCCTAACTGTGGTAAGGCACTATGGCAAGTGATTCAACCTGTCACCTCGTAATCCTCTTACAGATTCTACCACCTTTCAGCCCTCAGCTCAAAAGACGTAGGAAGGAGCCCTGCTGCCCGCAGCACCCCTTCAGGCAACGTTCATCGCTTTGTATTCCTCCCTGCTCCCCCCACCCCCCACCCCAGGCCTCAGGACCCCTAGCAGCCGGCCTGGAGACTCCGCGTTCCCCTAACACAGGTCCCTGTACACTCAAGGAATCATCTGGAAATGCAGATTATAGAAGGAGAAGGCTGCTCTGGGTTTGCCAGGAATACCAGAGTAGAGGGTGCGTGGTTCTCCGTGGCAGGGGGGCCCTACCTTCTTGGAATGTCACGTTCGATTTTGGGGAACCGCGTGATCTAGTTAAAAGTTTGCCTGTCCTCCCTTGCGCGGAGGTGGATGGGGATTTAGAGGGAGTTAATGAGTATTGTGAAGGTGGCAAAACAAAAATTGGGAAGATAAGAAATTCAGCCTTCAAATATAGGTGAGGAATTCATTTATTTAATTAGTGTTATGTGAAGTGCCCATTGGTGCTGGACTTTTTGATAAAGGAACCTGACAAGATAAGTTGTACAGACTTTGCCTTTTTTAGGGAGCTAGGACAAGCAAGTGAACAACACAGTGTATGCACATGAAGCTTAAAATGGTAGTGAACTGGAGAACGGGCATAAGGAATTAAATAGGGTGGTCAGAACACCGGGGGTTAGAGATTTGTGCATAACATAATTCTGTAAGAACTTTCTCTAGGTGAGAGCCTTGTAACAGAACAGATTTAGGAGGGAATCAGTTCTCTTGTGGTGGGATATATGTAAATTCCTCTGGGAGAACCCATGGAAGACACAGTATTTGAGAGATTTCTTAGGTATAACAGAAGTTGGAGACAGATCAGTATTTAGACACTGGAATTTTTTTTCATAAAATTTAAGTAGCTCCATGACCCCTACCAAAACCACCCTTCCTGGCTGGTCATGGTGCTACATGGCTGTAATCCCAGCAATGGGGAGGCTGAGGCAGGAGGATCACCAGGAGTTTGAGGTCAGCCTGGGCTTGATAGTGAGTTCAAGGCCAGCTTGGACTACATAGCAGTAAGTAGTCCCTGCACAAAAGAGACTCTGTCTCAAAAAAACACCCTTCCTCCTGTCTCTTCTCACCCCACCAGGTTGGGTGCTGATTGACCGCAGTGGCCGCCACTTTGGTACAATCCTCAACTACCTACGGGATGGGTCCGTGCCACTACCTGAAAGTACCAGAGAACTGGGGGAGCTACTAGGTGAAGCTCGCTACTACTTGGTACAGGGCCTGATTGAGGACTGCCAGCTGGCACTGCAGGTGAGGGTCCTCCTGCCCCTCCCAAGTCCATGTCCACACACCTGGGAAAGCTGCCCAAGGGTTAGCTATTAGGACAGAAAAAAGATACATGGCTTAGAAAGCCTGGCTCTGGCTAGGCATAACCACAGAGAACTTGGGGGTTCTGACCCCTGCAGAGTCCCTTCACTGCCTCTAGCCAGATCTGCTGTGATGGTTAAATAGCTGTTCTCTCCTCCTCCATGTTCTTTCCTGGCCCTCCAGCAGCTTCACTACTAGCTGAGTAACCACGTTGTTCCCACCAGCTTGAACCACCAGTGATATGCCACTGTCCCATTGAGTGGTTTGTGTCATTCGTCCAGTCATGTTTATCAGTCTTTTTACTAATAAATTAATAAATAGCTGCTGATGGGACAGTTCACACATGTCACCCAACATCAAGATGTCAGAATTAATGACCTTATGGCAATCATGTTAAGCACATCCTCAATCTATTCTCTCCCTTGCTCCTAAGTCCTGAACAGCCTCCTGTGTCACTAGAGAAAAGAAATCAAGTTGGAATATAGTAAGGTATGTGGTCTGATGGTATCCTGAGAGGTCACATTCACCCATGCCCCTTAGCCCAAGGCGGGCAGGCTGGCTTGCTTGCTTTTCCTTCCTTTCAAAGCAAGGAAATCTGGCTGGGAGATGGCTCAGTGGAATAAGCACTTCCCTGGCAAGCGCAAGAGCCTGTGTTCAATCCCCAGTTCCGCCAAAAACAAAAAAAGCAATGAAATCCTTTCCTCAGATAGAATGTAACACACAGTCACTGTCTGTAGATGGGGCCCAAGGGTCCCAGGCCCCACGTGCACCTGCAGATTTCATCCTCTTCTGTGGACCTCTCAGCTTTCCTGTCACAGCCACTGAGTGACCTTTTGGGAGTCAGTTCCAACCTCTGGCATTCTCTCCTAGGCTCCAAAAGATAACCAAGAAAATAAATACAATGTATGGGTTTCACACAAAGCCTTTTCTTCTGTTCAAGTTTTATAACATTAAAATGTCTTTTATGACACAGTAGTCATAGGAGATGATAAGAGTTTCTTTTTAATGCCCTTTATAGATTAAAAAGTGGTAACTTTGGACAACTTTCTGTCATCTCAAGGCATACTTATTTTTCTTGAAATCCAAAGGTATAGCATTCCTCTAGGCAGTATCCATGTTTTTCATGCTTTCTGACTGCAGCCCTAAGCGGGGAAATGCATTTTTATACACACGTGTATAGCTGGATTTTATGAAAGGGAACATCTAGTGCAATGTACTTTGATAAATTCTATTCCCTCTCTCGCTCCCTCCCTTCCTTTTGTCCTCTCTAATAACCGAGACTCATTAAATTTATTTTATGACCCATTAACAAGTTACTGCTTAGAGTTGAACAACACTGAGCTAGATCTTGGGAGTACACTCCAGCTGTATAATTTTAAATTGTGTGTCAGGAGCAACTGCGCTAGCTTCTGTGTGTACATTTTGTACCCTTGGTTGACATAAAAAGAAGCATGAGGGCAGTGGGGCGATGCACTCAAGGTCAGTGTGCCAGTCTGTGGCCAAGCACGGACTCACCCCCAGGTTACCTGCGCCCTGTGTGGGGCGGTTTCTCTTTGTGCTCAGCTGCCTCTGTTCCAGGTTTGCAGAGCCCCTGCCCAGCCCCTACCCCAGCTCAGCACGCCCCCCCCCATGGCGCACTGTCACCATTGGCCTGTGCAGATCTTTTCTTTTTTATTTTTTTCCCCTTCATTCCCCATTCCTTGCCCACTTCCCCATTCCCTGGGGGGCACCCATTCGTGCTAATGTTTGTGTACATATGTACTTGAATTAAGCTTATACTTTTTTTAAAAAAAATTTTTATGTATTTTGTGCAGGGTCTCACTATACAGCTCAGACTCATAGTAATCCTCCTGTTTTCAGCCTCCCCAGCACTGGGACTTGGCGGCCGGCTCAGTGCACATGAGGGCAGGGCCAGCATGGCATATGGTGTCAGGAATTGAACCCTGGGTCCTGCTCTTGCCTAAACAGGTGCTTAGTCCTCTGAACTATCGCACTGGCCTAAGCTTATGCTCTTGAAAAGCAAAAGCAGCCTTTTGTGTATGTGTGCATTTTAAATTCCCATAAAGGGCATTGAGCTGTGGATCATACTGTTTTATAGTTTTTTCATTCTGCACTTTTGAGATCTATTCATGCTGTTGCATGTACCACTCATTCCTTCTAAGAGCTGGGTTTGGCTCTGTATTGTATTCATCCATCCCCCTAAGGTTGGAGACCCCGCTTACCTCCCACCTCTTCCCCTCACAAACTTGGGCCTTATAGTACTGTGCTGGTTTCTCATGTGGTAGCTGAGAGTGTTGCCACAGATGTATACAAACCAAATTTAACTTCCAAATGGCTAGAGTACTGGTACTCATGATCAGCAGAGGAGAAGAGATCCCAGTTCTGCATATTCTCGGTAACGCGTGGCATCCTTCATCTAATTTTGCCACGCTGATGGGTGTAGCGTGATGTCATTTTCCTGTGCATGCTTCTGATTACTAACGAAGTTGAGCTTTTTTTTTAGCATCTCCATACTCGCTAGCTTTTTTGGTGTCTCCTCCATAAATTGCTTATTCTTTTTTTTTTTTTTTTTTTTTTTTTTACCAGAATTTCTACTGGATTTCCTTCCTGCTGCTTGGCAGGAGATGCTTGCATATTTTAGTCTAGTTTTTAAAGGGACATTAAGCCTTATTATATAACAATATGTATTTTACATGCCCTAAGGCATGTGGCAGGTTTGTTTGCTTTTTTTAATCTTTTAAGATCAAAACATTTGTGTGACTAATGGTCAGAATTCTCAAGGTGCCCTGCGGGCCACACCAGCCGCTCTCTGGGTCAGGTATTGTTCCTTCCTAGCGTCAGTGGTTGAGACTGCATTGCACACTTCTCAGTGCCTCGTCAGCCCAGTCGTGTGGTATCTCATCCCATAGCCTGGGCGCACCCCAGTTTTCCTTTCACTTGCTCTTGGCAGGTTAGACACACTGGCCACTGATCAACTTCTGAAGGTGGTAAGCCTTAGGGCCACAGAGGCCGCACCCCTGCGCATCTTAGTAGGAACTTGCTAAGTGACCCTGTTCCCTTTGTCATGTCCCTTCTGCTGCAGAGGCCAAGGAACCTAAGGCAGTGAACCTTTGAGAGCTCTAGGTGATACAAACACCGCCTTAGCAAAGGTGTACACTGTACACAATAAATTAGCCTTCTCCTAAGCATTTAGAATGGTGCTACTTAGCCACCATGGTTGGGACAGTTCACACAGTAATCAAATTTTACTGAGTTTTATGATTCAGATGAGGGATCCTAGTTTGTTTGTTTTCCACAAAAGGGACTCTATTTATAAAAAGCCTAAGGGACTCCTGGGATGACAAGACAGGCAGGCCAGCTTCTCAGAGGCCCGGGACACTTGGGCAGATGCTTGGGCATTTGAGGGCACTTGGGGAGTGCCCTCCAAGTCCTCTTTGTCACCCTGGGCTGCCTCAGGGACAGGGGCCTCCGCCTCCAGCAATTCTGGAACAGGCTCCTCGATCAGCATTGGGGGCTCATCAGTCCCGCCTGCAGGGATGGCGGTGGCTTCTCTTTTGTCCCAGCAGTGGGGGCTGAGCATCCTCGGTGACCCCTTCTGGGGGTCCAGAAGGTGACAGGGCGACTGGGCTGGAGGTGCCACCAGGGCTGGGCTCAGTGCCCTTTTGCAGGGAGGCTTCGGAATGCAAGCTCTGGTTGCTGTCTTCATCATTGAGAAGGGATCCTAGTTAAGAAAGTCTGTTCTAGAAAATAACTTGTAGTCAATTTTAGATATTGCCAGTATTTTCTTTTAGAATGTTACCTGTCTGTGACATCTGGTATTAAAGAGAAATTCTTGATTTTAAAAGAAAATGACAATTAACCACAGATTATTTTTAAGCAGTATTTATCAGTTATAGAAATTTAGGAAACACAAATAAATACAAGCACCGAATATTTTTCCAGGTCTTTGTGTGTATCTGTGCGTGTGTGCGTCTCTGCTAGAATCATGTTGTATGTACTGTTTTGTAAGCTGCTTTCTTAAGTCATTGTTAATAACTGCTATTTACTGTATCAATAAAGTTTTATTCTGACACCCAGGGCACTCTCTAGTTCCTCCAGCTGTTCCAGAAACATTTTTATAGCTGATTCTATCAAACCAGGATCCAGGGTACATCTATGCCTTGCCTCTGGTTATTCTGTCCCTTGAGTCTTCCATTCTAAAACATGCTGCTGACTCGGTAAAGAAACTGCCGTTTTCCTGCTCAGTAACCGACCACATCTGGTTTGCTCTTGGTATCTTTTGGTTTGTTCTCCTGTTTATTCCTATAAAGTAGATCATACATTTAAAGGCTCGATAGTAAACATTTTGGTTAGAACACGTTAGGTACAGCAGTGTCCTGTACTTTCTATTGTGTTATACCGAGACCCTAATATTGCTAGTTTGACCCCTCGCTAGCGCTGCTCACAGTTGGCTCCTGGGCGTAGTTGATTGTAGTCTGAGCCCTGCAGGGGTTCTAGCTCCGCACTGCCAACTACAAAGTCGTCTATGTGGCGTTACTTGGACACTGCACAAGTAGCAGCTGCCTACCTTCAACACACCAATTGATGACCCTTGTCAGTAATTTTTAGGATAATTATAATTCTGTCATTTCCTCAGTGTGTAAAGTCATGCTTTCTAGGGTCACCAGAGTTTTTTTGTTTTTGTTTTTGAGAGGCAGAGTCTCACTGCGCAGTCCATCCTACTGAGTGCCAGGCTTGCAGGAGCACCTACCATACCCAGCTTGCCTTTGTTTTTTTCTTTTTTGAGACAGGGTCTCTCTCAGTTGCCCAAATTTATGATGTTCCATCCTCCACCTCCTGAATAGCTGGGATTACAGGTGTGTGCCACTGTTCCTTGCTCAACCGAGAAATTGGGGGGGGGGATGTTGAGACAGTCTTGATATATATCTCAGGCTGACCTCAAACTCATGGCAAACCTCCTGCCTCAGTCTCCTGAGTACTGGGGTTACAGGCATGCACTTCCATATCCAGCTTCAACTGAGAAAGTCTTGACATTAATGTAATTGAATTATTTACCTTTTTATTGACCAGTGTTATATTCCTTTAGAGTCTTATTTAAAAAGTTTTCCTTAACATTTTTTTTTTAGGGGCCTGGGAGATGGCTCAGTGGAATAAGAGCTTCCTTGGCAAGCACAAGGGTCTGAGTTCAATCCTCGGTTCCGCAAAAAAAAAGAAAAAATATTTTCTTTTGGAGAACTTAATGTAGTTCAGGCTAGCCTTGAACTCATTACACAGCCCAGGCTGGCCTCAAACTTGCAGTCCTCCTCTTTAGCCTCCTAAGTTCTGGGATTATAAGTGTGTGCAACCATTTCTATTCTGTGTGTTCAGTAGCTTTATTGTCTTACATATGGATTTGTCATATAAGGATGGTGTAATCTCGGTGGAACTCACTTTCGTAAATGTGAGTATGAAGAGAGTCAGTGCTCTTTTCGTCCTTCATGGAGGGAGCTGGTTTCCCTGGTGCCATCTGGTAAGCAGTCTTTGACAGCATCCAGGAGGGCCACTAGTGATCCTTGCCTCCCGCTAGGCTTTGGTCACGTTTCCTCCCCTGCGGAATAGGCTAACCAATAGGCTCTCAAAACTGGGTCCTACGCAGCATTACAGCTCCTGCCTCCCTTGGATCATTCCCTCTGGGAAGCCAGCCCTTAAGTGGAGACACAGCAGCCCAAAGAAGAAATTTGCATGGTGACAAGCTGAGGCCTGCTGACAAAGCCAACACGGGCCCGCAGCTACATGGAGGAGCCATCTCAGAAGCAGGTCCCGAGCTGGGGTGCTGCTTCACACCTGAATTCCCCCAAAAGGGAGAAGCAGATCTCATAGGCTCAGTCAAGACTTCACACATGATGCAGCCCTGGCCAGCGCCTGGGTTGCAGCTTCCTGAAGGACCCCAGGACAGGGATCTCACCTAGACAGGCTAATCTTGAATTCCTGGCCCACACATAGATCAGTTGTGTGGTAATAAATGTTTATTGTAGTTTTAAATTGTTACAGTCTTTTCCACAAAGAGACAGAAGGTTTTGGTTTCTGGAGTGTAGAGTCTGCCATGGGGGAAAAAAAAAAAAAACCTAAAATATGGAAGTGGTTTTAGAACTGAAAAGTGGACAAAAGTTGGGAAGATGCCAAGCACAGGGAAGCAGCATAAGGGAGTTAAGAATGGTTAGGAAAACGTTACCAGAAATTGATGGAAAGCAGATCTTGGGCCGGTGAGATAGCTCAGCGGTCTAAAGCACCTGCTTAGACAAATGTGCAGGGACCACGGTTCTATCCCCAGCACCACATGCCTTGCCAGCCCCACCCCCGGGGTGGGCAGAGCTGCCACAAAAAAAAGATCCTAATTATATGCAAACCGGCAACATTGTCTCCTGCAGTAATGTACAGTTAGGAAGTACCCTAATGAATGTGAGTGACCTGGCTAAGGAGATCCCCAGACAGAACGCTAAAGGTGCCTGAAAAAAAAAAAAAAAAAAGCAGTTAAGCCAAATGCCAGAAACTGTTGAATTTGGAAATGTCCAGCCTTCCCAGATATGTAGATAACAAATATGTTAAAATAAACAATCTCTGATGTCCAGGCAGAGAGCAGATACAGAGAAACCTCAGGAAATCGTGGTTTGAAGATGAATCTGAGAATGTGATTATGAGGGCTTTTGTGGTCCCAGCACTGAGGCAGGAGGATCAGCATGAGTTCAAGGCCAGACTGAACTACGTAGCGAAAGCCTGTCTTGTGTGAAGACCTCAGAAACATCCCAGAAGATACCTCATTTGATCCAATTATTCTGAGCCAGCTGCCCCTTCTGAGAAGCTTAAGAGAATGGTATTTGCAGTAGTCTGAGCACAGCCCAAAGTAGAGAAGACCTGCCCTTGCAGAGGCTCATGGTGATGGCCTTTTCTTCTGCACTGAACCCCAAAACTTAGAAGATACTCAGACAATTACAGTGGCAGAAACGCTATCATCTTGGGCTGAGAGGGTGACCCAGAGCAAAAGGAAGAAAGAGGGCCTTGGGTCCTTAAACTTCTATAGACTAGACTGGAAGTGGCTAAGGAAACGAGCCACAAACTTCTTTCATGGAAAAGGAGGGTGATGCAAAGTGTAGGAACCATGGAGAATCATTCCTGAGCAGCGCAGGCATCAAAGAGTTCCCAGCACCCACACAAGTAGATTACAGGGCCTCTGGGCCAGTGCCTTCTGTGTCGCCTCTGTCTCCTCCCCTTTTGAACAAGTGTTCTCAGTGCTTGTGCTGTTTTTACTGCTACATATTGGCTGTGTAGAGGAGATGCTTGTCTGTTGTTTGCTGTTCTTTATCATGTCCTTCAGGAGTGATAAAGAACTGCTGTCCTGATTTAGAAGACAGCATTTTGGGCTGAGTGTCAAGGTGGAGCCTTTTAATTCCAGTACTCTAGGAAGCTAAGTCAGGAGGATTGCAAGTTCAAGCCTACTCTGGCTTAACTTAGTGAGACCCTATCTCAAAATGTAAAAAGGGCTGGGGATGTAGTTCAGTGTGAAGGCCTTTGGTTCACTCCCCAGTACCACAAAAAAAGCAAAACAAAACACACCACACAACACTCTGTACCCTGAGTCACTACGGTAAGGAGAGTGCTTTTTACCTGAATCAACAGAGACCGGAGAGTGGTCCATGGAGCCAACCTCTAAGGCAGCTCCCAGTGGTTTTTGTCTCCAAGTATTCATCGCTTGGGGATGCTGAAAAGGGCTGATGATGTGATGTTGCACGAGACAGTCCTCTACCTTGGTCTGTTCAGGATTCTTTGCTCTGAAGAAACCAGCTGCCATGTGAGAAGCGGGTCCACATGGCAGGTGTTGGCCAATGTGAACAGAGCTGTCTGAGTAGGTTCCTGAGAAGCGATTCTACCCCAGGCAGTCAGGCCTTCAGACCCCCCAAGGCCGAGGCTGCATAAGAGCCGCCTGGCTGAGCCCCTTCTACGTTCCTGGCCCTTGGCAACTGAAGCAATACATTTTGTGTTGTTGTTAATTAAGCTGCTAAATTTGGGCCAGTCTGTTACATAGCAGTAGGGAACTGACTGTTCTATGCTCCCTACTTTCCCCCTGCTCAATTGTGGTGTCTTTCTGTAAGCCCTCACACACATACCCTGGGTGGTTGCTGAGTACTCTGTTGTGTCCTATTGCATTTTTGTTTTGTTAACATCCTAGAACTAAAGTATATTCATTATTTCAGTTCTTAGTATATCTTAAAATTTGTAGTCACTGTCCTTAAAATTTGATAGTCAGTGTCTCCAGTTCTTTTAAAAAATTGAAAAAAAAATTTAAAAATTGATTTAAGTGCTAGGGAGATAGCTCAGCAGTAAAAGCTCCTGCCTGGCAAGAGCAAGGTCTCGAGTTTGATCCCAGGTACTGAATACTGTGCTGACCCTGGAACCCTGGGTGTGCCATGCTAGGGCCCGAAACTAGGCATGGTGGCATACCTGTAATCCCAGCACTGGGGAAGCTGAGACAGGAGGATCACTACGAGTCTGAACTGTATAGCGAGACCCTGCATCAAATAAATAATTTTAAAAATTGATTAAAGTAATTATAGACTTATTTATACCTTAATATTTTTATTTTTAATTTTTAAAATATTCGTTTGTTTGAGACAGGGTCTCCTTGTGTAGCTAGGCTGGCCTGAACTCATGGTGATTCTCCTGTCTCAGCCCCCCCAAATGCTGGGATTGCAGACATGTTTTTTTTTACTTTTGAGATGAAGTCTTACCATGTTGCTCAGGCTAGTCTAAAACTCTTCTAGGCTCAATGATCCTCTCACCTCAGCCTTCTGAGTGGTTAGGACTGCAGGCGTATGCCACTGCTCCCAGCCTCCCACGTTAACTTTACACTAAACCTTACGAGTTGCTCAAAAAAAAAAAAAAAAAAAAAAAAAAAAAGACCTAGAATTCCTATTAGGATTACATGCTTAGCTTTCAAGATTGGGTGAGATAAGAGGGATTTGAGCATGAACTTTCTGGAAGACAGAGACGAGAACCCATGTGTCCGAGCATGGTGACACATACCTGTAATCCCAGTGCTTGGGGGGCTGAGGGCTGAGGCAGGAGGATTTCGAATTCAAGGGCAACATGGACTTCGTAGAAATAACATATCTCCAAAACAAAAACAATGCTTGATTCTGATTCCTTTTCCAACTTCATCGTGCCTAGCCAGGGCCACTGATTCAGCAAATACTTATTTTTTTTAAAGTAATTTTATTGAGAAACAAATAGCAATGAGACAATTTCAAAACCAATTAGTAGGACAGTTTCAATAATTAATACATTTCATGTTGTTGTCTTCTTGGTGGTTATTCATAGTACAAGATGCAGACATGATGCCCACAAACACTATTAGTACAAATCTTTCTATTCATTGAATTAAGAGAAAGTAGCTGTATATCTATCCTAAGTGTTTTGAATATACAGATACAAAAGCAAATACTTATTGAGCACTCATTTATGTAGTAGGAACTTACTCTCCAGATAGAGACAGGCCACAAACAAATTATAGAAAGCTAGGAAATGTCAGGAAGTGAGCTAGTAACCTGAATGGAAGAACATGCTTCGAGGAGGCTCTCTGAACTGAGATCTGGGTGGTACATGGGAGCAGCCCAGGGCCAGGGCGGGCCCAACTTGATGTGGGAAGGGACAAGGTGGCGGGAGAGCGGGAGCCCTGCAGGCAGCAAGGGAGAGTGGTGCCACTGAGATCAGAGGCTCCTGCAGAGACTCCGAGGCCACTGAGGCATCTGGAGTTTTGACCTGAAGGGCCATGAGCAGCTCCTGAAGGCCTTTACATGCTGGCATGAGTGACTTCTGGTTGTGCTGTTAACCACCTTCCGCTTCTTCCCCAGCAAAAAAGGGAGAACCTGTCCCCGCTGTGCCTCATCCCCACAGTGACATCTCCCCGGGAGGAGCAGCAGCTCCTGGCCAGCACCTCCAAGGTGAGGCCCCTGGGCTCTTTGGGGTGGAGGCTGAGGGTTTGTCCTACAGCCTGACCCCCGTCCTTCTTCCACTCTCCCCCAACAGCCCGTGGTGAAGCTCCTGCACAACCGCAGTAACAACAAGTACTCCTACACCAGGTGACCACTGCGGGGGACTGCGTGTGGGCACACCTGGCCTGTGGGGTGGGATCCCACCCTGCTCCTGGCCCAAGGGAGGGCTTCAGCCCTGAGGCGTGACTAGGAATGCCTGATGCTCTTGGCAGCTCTGCCACTTGCCTGCTGGACACTTTGGGCACGTCATCCCCTTCTGAAGCTGTCTTATCACCTGGAAGCTGGAATTGGGGCAAGGACTGAGTAGTGGCTAGAGTGAGTACAGTGGTACCCCAGTTCACGAATGCTTTGGCTTGTGAACAGAGCATTTGGCCAATTTTTTTTTTTTTTTATTCACAAACTCTGCATCAAGTGACAAACATGATCGGGGCCATCTTTCCTACACAAACTCAAACATGGCCATCTACTCCAAAATTTTAGAACAAATTAAGTTTGTGAACCGCAGTACATCATAGTTATTTTCAAACTACAGCTGAGCTCTCTCTTTCACAACACTCCTGATGTTTGAGGTAGGTGTTATCTCCATTTACTGATAAAGAGAGCGGGACACCAAAAGGTGGGGTAGCTTGTTCCATGTCACTCAGTGAAAGAGTGGCAGAGCTGCAGTGGCAGTGGGCAGCTGGGCTCGCGAGACTGTCCCAGGCCATGGTACTGGGCTGGCGCCTGCTCGCCAGATATCACTTACCTGGGAGGCTGCTTAGCCACCCAGCTCCTCAGGGCAGAAGCAAGTGGGGCCCAGGTGCCCCATCCTGGGATCAGAGGGAGGGAATCCAGCCATGCTGAAGCCACCTGGCCTCTGGTCCTCAGCACTTCAGACGACAACCTACTTAAGAACATCGAGCTGTTCGACAAACTCGCCCTGCGCTTCCACGGGCGGCTGCTCTTCCTCAAGGATGTCCTGGGGGACGAGATCTGCTGCTGGTCTTTCTATGGGCAGGGCCGCAAGATCGCCGAGGTGTGCTGCACCTCCATTGTCTACGCCACGGAGAAGAAGCAGACGAAGGTCAGAGGGGTTCAGGACCTGGACAGGGAAGGGCAGGGAGCTGGCAAGACCAGGACCCTTGACAGAGGCGGCGAGGCCCATCAGGGAGGGAGAGCCCTGCAGTGGGAGTCGGGCTAAAATTCCAGAGCCTTGGGTTATTACTTGGGCAAATAGTGTCCATTTCTCAACCTACACAATGAGGGGTTTGGATCCCAGCAGGGTTTGGTTTTGCTTTGTTGAGTGATGCTGTGGATTGGATCTAGGGCCTTGCATAGAGAACTGTTCTTTCTCCTTTTATGTATTTTTTAAATTTTTGTGGTCCTGGGAATTGAACCCCAAGACGTGATCTGCCACCAAGCCGCATCCTCTGCCTGAGCAGGTTCACGTGCATCTTTCTGGGTACAAGGTCTATGGTGGTCTGTAGAACCTTGGACCACTTAGAACACACCTGGATTTGCGAGTGTAAGTGTGACAGTCATCTGCAGATACTTTTTTTTTTTTTTTTGGCAGAACTGGGGATTGAACTTGGGCCCTTGCACTTGCCAGGGAAGCATTTATTCTACTGAGCCATCTCCCTGGCCTTGATCTGCAGATACTTCCCAAGCACCTGCCTGCACTGAGTGTAACCTCGGGCATCAAGGTGCTGCGTAAAGTGCCCTTTCCTACCCATCCCCTCCAAGCTCAGCGCAGGCGCTCTGCAGTCCCCACCAGACTCCCAGCACCCAGAGTTCTTTCACACCTTCCCCCCCCCCACGCCATTCCCTCTTCTTCAAATTATTTTTCTCCCCCCATATCTATCTGCCTAGTGAGCTGGTATGGTTTTGTTTTTTGAGTCAGGGTCTCACTGTGCCATTCAGGCTGGCCTTGAACTCACTGTGTAGCCCAGGGTGGGCTCAAGCTCATTGTGATCCTGCCTCAGCCTCCCGAGTGCTGGGATTACAGGTGTGTGCCACCACACCTGGCTCTGTACTTCATGCTATACATCATTTTTCTCTCTCTCACTCTGTGTGTGTGTGTGTGTGTGTGTGTGTGTGTGTGTGTGTGTATTTTAGTACAGGGTCTGCAGGGTCTCACTACACAGATTGGACTTGTAGTGATCCTCCTGTTTTCAGCCTCCCAAGTGCTGAGATTACAGGCAAGCACCACCACACCGAGTCTCAATTGCTATTTCAGTGTGCCCTGGGGGCGGGGCTGGCACAGCATGCCAAAGCAGGTGCTTTAATCTGCTGTGGTATCTGGCGGACCTTATATCATTTTTCCCTGAGACAGCTTTACTCATAACTTCAACCCAAACACTTAGACAAAGCTAGTTAGAGCCTGGCATAGTGGCACACGCCTGTAATCCCAGCACTTAGGAGGCTGAAGCAGGAGTATCATTGTGAATTCCAGACCAGCCTGGGCTATAAAGTGAGCTCAAGGCCAGCCTGAATGGCATAATAAGACCCTGTCTCAAAAAGACAAAAAAAAGCTAGCAATGTTCCCTTCTTAGTGAGAGACAGTGTTTATTGTGGTCTGTGCTTTGGGGAGCAGGGATGGCTTTACCAGCAGGGCCCTGCTATAGCTTTTTCCTGCTGGCCTAGCCCTTGTCTAGTCAAGGAAACAGGCTTAGAATGTGCACGAGTGAGTAAGTGGCTCAGCTTTCAGGAGGTTCTTCTGCAGCTGGGGAGGTAAGACAAAGCAGCCATTAGACCACCACTTAAGAGCTCTATGCCCTTCCGCGACTACTCCCTGGGATGCCCCAACCACGCCTTCTACTTCGTTCCTTTCTGTTCCTTCATTACTGCCCCAGTGGCCTCGGCCTCCCTGCTGATCTCTGATCTGTGCGCCAGGCACATTCCTGGCCCTAACTTTTCCCCATTGCTGCTCCCCAGTCTGCTTTCTCTAGCTACTCGCCTGCTTTGCTCCCTCCTGGCTTTGGCCTTCCTAGTGATGCCCTCCTGGAAGTCCCTGTTGAAAAGTGTGGCACTCGTGGTCGTTCTCACCTACTCCCCCGACCTATTCTGTGTACATTTGTCATCATCTAACTGTGTCTGTACTTGTTAAGCAAGTATCTGAGTCCTCCCCCAGGAGGACTTGTTGGGGGTGAACATTCTGTTAGTTCTGCTCCCTGTTCTTGTCCCAATTCCTAGAACAAGGCCTGGCCTAGTGCAGTCACTCCATAGGTAAATGGCAGTGAAGGACAAAAAATAATCATTCTGTTCAGAGCTGGGCCTTGAAGCAGGACTTTGCCAGGTAAAGAAAGTACAGAGAGAACAGTTGAGGCCTGAGAACCTGAACACAGAGGCTGGGACATGTGCAGTACAAGAGCTTCTGGGAAGCGGGCTGTGACACTGGGCTGCAGGTAGGAGCTGAGATTGCTGGCCTTTCGCAGGTGGAATTCCCAGAGGCCCGGATCTTTGAGGAGACCCTGAATATCCTGATCTACGAGACTCCTCGAGGCCCAGACCCAGCCCTTCTGGAGGCCACAGGGGGTGCAGCTGGAGGCGGTGGGGCAGGCCGAGGTGAAGATGAGGAGAACAGGGAGCACCGAGTCCGCAGGATCCACGTGCGGCGCCACATCACCCACGATGAGCGTCCTCATGGCCAACAGATCGTCTTCAAGGACTGACTGCCCTTCCACTGCCTCCTGCTTCTGGGGCCCAAGCCCTCCCTCTCTTTTCTCCCTTCCCCAGGTCTTTGCCCCGGCTCTGCTGGCCAAGTCGTGGGCCTTCATTCTGTCCCCTCACTGCATGGTACAGTTCACCTTGGCCCTTTCTGTTGGTTTCTACTCAATGCTAGCATAGTCCATTCCAGCCCCGCCCTGCAGGCAGAGCCCTTCAGAAGGCCTCGGTCTTCCTTCCCTCTTCACCACTCCTGCCCAGCGATCTTCCCTCACCAGCGGGTTGGAAGGATTTCCCTCTCTCTTTAGTTCCTTGTACACACACAAGTGTTGAGCCAGCCCTTATAACATGTACCGGCTCTGAGCTACCTCCAGCCCATGCCTCCCTCCCTCCTGCCTGCCTCTTCTGCTTCCTTAAGTCTGTCCTAGGCTGGCCCGCACAGTTGAGCTGTCTTCTTGACCTGTTTAATATTATTTATTGTTTTAATTTTCTATTAAATTATTGGAATAAAGTTGAGTTGGGGATCTGCTGCTGGCTCCCAGGGAAGAAAGTAGAACATGGCTTGCATTGAGGAGAAACCTGATAGCAGTCCTTGCCCCAAGCCCTTCTGGGGGTGGTAGCTGGGAAGGAGCACTCAAGAGTTAGGAGAGAATTCAGAATTTATATTTCAGTGCGCCTGGCCAGGTCCTACCCACAATCTGCTTGCCCCTGGCTGCCGCTCAGACTGTCCCCCAGTGCAGCAGCTCTCAGCCTGGTGTCTGCAGGGAACCTTCCTTTAAGGGTCTGGTGCGAAGACAAAGTCCAGGGCCTGGCGCTCGGCTCCGGCCACGTTGGGGTGCCAGAGGTCCACAATGAAGACCACTCGAGGGCCATCTTCAGGGGAGCCTAGGGCACATGGGCGGAAACAGAACAGCTGGCATTCAGGGACTTCTGTGCCAAAGCCTTCTCCAGATGCTGAGTGAGGCTGTGTCAGGCCTTGTCCTAGCCCTTGCGTGTGAGCATGCTTAGCAAAACAAGCTGTGCTGTGTAACAAGCTTTAAGGAGCCCTAGGTCCTGCAGCTCCAGAGCAGGAGATAGGGTGGCAGTCTAGTGGCCCAGACCCAGTGTCCTGTGCACGTACACATCATATGCGCTGATAGGAACTTACTTTACCTTATAGTCACTTCATAAAGGGGTGGTTGCCCCATGGGTGACAGAAGGATTTATGTGACTTGCTCAGGGTCATGCAGCTGGAAAATGGTGGTGTTGGGACGGGAAGTCCAGGGAACCCGATTCTGTGGCCCTGCCATCTCCATGTTTTGGCCCTACACCCCCAGCCCCCCAACAGGATCCCATTACCATTGTGTGCCACCGTGTGCAGGAAGGAGTCATCCACCAGGAGGCAGTGCCCCTCAGCCCAGCACTGGGGCTCACCCCCAACGACCAGCTCACAGCCCGGTGGGATCTTCAGGCCTGTGGAAGAGACCAGGCATCCAACACCCTGCCTCAGTTCAGCCAACAGATCTAAGAGCCTTAAAGATCAGATTCTGGTTATTTCTGGGAGGTGACAGTTCAGTCACAGTGGAGCACTCCATGAAAAGAGATCTAAGAGAGAGGGTGGTGCTGCTGTGGGAGGCACAGTCCATCACTCAGAGAGAAAAGGGAAGGCTTCCTAGTGCAAATGGCATGTCCCCTTAGGCTGCCTCACAGTTCACATCGAGAACCTACTACGTGCTGGACACTGTCTCCCCAAAAGTTATGACTGAGGCCTCCATCCTAGCCAAGGACCACAGGGATGTGCTAAGAACACGGAGCAGCCAGCTCCAATGCTGGGGAGCAGGAAGGCATCTGAGGAGGAGGAGGTGTAGCATTCAGAAATACTCAGAAATGCTCGCAAAAAGCTGAGTAGTTTTATGGCAAGGATCGGAAGGAAGTTATTCCAGGTAGAAAAGTCAATACCCAAGTAATACTGCTGGGATCAGCCAGAGCCACTGGCTGAGTACAAGGGGAGGGGAGGAAAGCCCTGGCCTTGGTCTTGTCCCGATTGTCAGACACATCCAACTGGCAGCACAGGACGTGATTGGGGTGAGTCAAGGTCGTAACACAGAATAAGCAGAAAGTCGATTTCCCTTTTCACTCCATCTTTAAACATCAAAAAGGAAATCTCAGCTTAGTGCCCTTGGAGCATCAATGCCCACTAACAATGCTAACTTTTTGGTGAGGGAACTGGAGGTCTCAGGCCTGCAATAATTTATAGAGTTAGCTAAAATATTTAAAGTCCTTTTTTTTTTTTTTCTTTTCTTTTTTCTTTTTGAGTAGTACTGGGGACTGAACCAGAATCTTCACACTGAGTTACATCCCCAGGCCCTTTTTTATCTTTCATTTGTGAGATAGGATATTGCTAAATCACTAAACTGTCTAGGTTCCAATCTTCCTGCATCAGCCTCCCAGAGTATTTGGATTACAAGTGTGGGCCACCACACCCAATTTAATTACAACTTCCTCTTTTAAAATTTAAATTTGAGGGGCCAGAGAGATAGCTCAGTAGAATAAGCGCTTGCCTGGCAATTGCAAGGGACTGAGTTCAATTCCCAGTTCCGTAATAAATAAATAAATTTCATTTTATGAGTACTTTCTAATGAGAGCAAGTAATATATCATTTACAGGCTCATTTTTAGTAAACTCAGAGAGTTAATGGGACGTAACATAGCTGGAAAGTCAATGTCTGAGGCGTAACTTACGATGATGGGTTCCCCTTAGTGAAGCTCAGGAAGTGTTGCTATGGGCAACAGGGAGTCACAGGTTTCCAGAAAGAGAAGCACGATGAGAATGACAACATGGAAATGTCTAGTGACAAAGAAGCGGGTGTGGAGGGGAGCCGTGGAAGCCTGGCGGTTGCCTGGAGGCAGGGTCTACTCACCCAGATGGCACCTGACTCGTGCATTGGTAGGCCCACAGCGACTCTCGAGCCGGGCCCCAGGCAGAAGGACAGAAAAGCCAGCGTTGCCGAAGGTGTTGGCGCTCATGAAGCTCCGCAGGCCCCTCAGTGCCCGGTAGGCACCTGGGCACCGGCGGCAGTTGTTGGGTTGGCATCGGCCTGCTTGGTACAGCAGGAGCTGGTAGCACCCAGGAGCCAGGGGCGGGGACCAGCCCCGAGGCAGAGGGGTAGTCCCTGAGAAGTCCCAGCTCACAGCCCCGAAGTCCCGCAAAATGGCAGGAAAGCTGCTCTCGAGGAGCTCCACATCATGCCGCTGGGCATCCCGTGGTACAAAGGGGGCTGAAGGCAGGTCTGGTAGGAAAAGTAGGGCTGGGCGCTGAATGCCCAGGGCCCCTGGCCCTCCCCCAGGGCCTGGGCCACCTTGCGCTGCCCTCCTCACCCTACCCATTCCAGCCCAGGAGTAGCGCCTGGCATAGGCCCGAAGCCGACGACTCACTAGGCCTTCTGTCCTGGGTCCTTCCCTGGGCTCCTCTACACGACCTAGGCCTGGCCTGCCAGCCTCTGGGCATCCCCCAGGCCCACCACTGAGACCTCCAGTCTGACTCCTGGCCCCCAGGGCCTGCATGTCTTGGGAGCCCAGGCGGTAACAGTACCAGAGGAACAGGGAAGTGAGAGCCCCGAGGAGCAAGGTCATTGCTGAGGAGGCCAGGGGCAGTGGCCAGGGCAGCATGATGGGCAGAGAGGCCCTGGCCAAGAGCCCCGGGGCATCTTCTGGGCCCCAGTTCCCCTGAGCTCCCAGGTCTCCACCTAGCCCCTCCTGGTTTCCCCCTGGGCCATTTCCCTTCCACATTGCCACTCTGTGTCCCTTCTCTCCCTCTGAGGTCTTCTCTCCACTTTATATTCTTCCCCCCTCCTTTGGATACCTGGGCCCGTCCTTTCCCTCTAGCTTTCTCTCCTCTCTACCTCTTCTTTCTCCAGGCCCTGGTCTCCCCTCCCTCCCTCTCCCTTCTTGTCTTCCTCCAGTGCCCTCTCTTCCTCTCTTGCCCTTCTCCTCCAGCGTGTCTGCTCTCCCTCTGGCTCTCCTCTCTTGCCTCTCCTCTCTTCACCCCCTCAGCCTCCACTCTCCTTTCCCCCTCCTTTTGCTCGCGGCCCACCCCCCTTGCTTCTGGCTTCCGCAGACAGCAATTCCTACCCCACCTGGACCCGCAGCCCAGGACCCTGAAGCCTGTCTTCCTCCGTGGCGGTTCTCTCCTTCCTCCCTCCTCTCTTCTTGCCCTCGCTCTTCGTTCGACCCGACCCTCCGGTCCTGCCTCTCTCTCCCTCTCCTACTCGCTCCTTTCTTCGCTCCCACTCACCCTGACGTCACTCCTTCCTGCAGCCCTCTCTGCTTAGCCACCCCCGACCCCTCCCCGCAACGGCCACAACTCAGCTCTGGGGGAGGGGGACTCATCTCTGGATTTGCCTCCCCGCCCCCTCAGCCCAGGCTGGGCGCCACGTGGGGTGCAGGGGGCACGGTGCCAACCCCCGGCCGCCCTGCAATGCGAAAAACAGGGCGGGGCCTTGGATAGGGGCGGAGACATCGGGGGCGGGGCGACAGCGAGGATTTGACAGACAGAGCCGGTGCTCCGGGACAGTGAGAGAGCAGGGTGGCTACCGCCCCGCGGTTCGGTGGGTCCGCAGGTCCCCAGAGCTTGCGACTCCACTTCCCCTTGGGCTTTCGCGGGAGCTAGCTCGCGGCGCTGGCTGTTTGACAGTGACAGCGGCTTTGGCCAATCGCCGGCCGCGCCGGGACTCGCCTGGGCGGGACAGGGAGCTGTCCGTAGCCGGCGGTGCTGAAAAAGGGAGCTCCCGAGAAAATCTGAGCTGACGAAGCGGGCTGGGGGCACGCTGTCTTTGAGAACAGAGTCTCTCCTCCCAGGTCTGGCCTATCACCTCTTAGACGCTTCAAAACGTCGCCATTCTCCTGGGGAAGGGAAAGCTCATTCCACTATTAAGCTTCTACAAAAGGCAAAGTCTTACGGGCATCCGGATACGGACTGAGGGCATATTGTGGGACCAAGAGGGGCACCCTTTAGCGCCCTGGGAAAAGGAGACACAGGTTCCAGATGTGCTGGAATGGCGGGGGCGGGGTGCTTTTGACTGCTGGAACCAGAGAGTTTCCTTTGCCTCCCCTAGAGGCCGCGGGAGTGAGGATTACGGTTCTCGCTCTATCCCTCCTTCCTCCATCTGCACTTCCTCCTCCGCCCTCCTCCGCAAATAAATCCTAGGCCCCTCCCTTCGCCCGTCCCCAGGATCTGACGTGAGCTCGACACCTTTTTCAGCTTCTCCCTCCCGCAGTTCTAGTGCCCGAGCTTCAGCTCTCCGGGTTCTGCAACCCTTTCCTTCCCTGACAATCCCCGCTAGAGCCCAGAGGATACCGTCCCGATTCTCAACCCCACCCTAGGACCCCGGAAGCTTCCCTCCTGTTCCCCGCTCCCTTGGCCTGGGATCCAGCCAGCCCGGTGGACCCAGGCGCCCGAGCAAGAGGGTAACCTTCGGCCCTATCGGCCCCACCCCCTGCAGCTGAGCCGCGCCCCCCTCTACCACAGACCCCAGAGCGAAGGACAGAGATTGAGTCAAGGGGGGCGGACTCCAGGCAGCCGAGCCCTAGCCCAATTCTGCCCCTCTATCCCAAGGGGCAGAGAAATTGTCTTCTTTTACTGACTCCCTAGCAGGAAAGCAAAATCAAAGGGAAAAAATAAAAGGACACGGAGGAGAAGTGGCAACTAGATTATTTAGGAGAGGCACAGAGGAGCTTGGGGTGAGTCGCCATGGGGACTCCCAAGGCCCAGCACCCGCCGCCTCCCCAGCTGCTGTTCCTAATTCTGCTGAGCTGTCCCTGGATTCAGGGTAAGGACATAAGGGTGTGGGAGTGGGCCTGAGGAAGGGCTGGGGAGGGGGTCGTCTACCTTCTTTCTCCAAACAGCCTGGGTCTTCTGAGCTTTTGGGGGAGGGAGGGGCACAGCTGACCACGAAGGGGAATGTAGGGGCTCTCTGGTGTATGCCTGGAGCCCCTTGACCCCTAATATGGAGGGGGAAGGAATAAACGGGGCATTTAGCAGCACCTTAGGGGTTAAATCCAGGAAGAAGGGCTGGGAAAGTTGGGATGTCTGCGGAGGCGTAGAAGCATGCAGGGTACCTGGGTGGGAGATGGAGGTGTTGGGAGAGACGCCAGGCACTGCACACACAAATGTTCTTGGACATATGGACAAAGACAGATGAACAGAGGCCGGGCTCAGAGACCAGATATTCAGTCCCTCACTTCTCTCTGAAGAAGGAGACAGACTGGAAAAAGAAAGAGGGGAGAAAGAGAGGGAGGAGGGTGGGA